TTCAACATAATAATAACTTCCATTAATCATTCTTCGTTTTTAACAGCATCTTTGCAAATTTGACCGTGTTAAATTAATGAGTAATTTCTTAGATTTACTGCAGCTAGATATTGTCATTATGCAGTGCATTATGAGAGCAAAGAAAAACATAGCTTGTACAGTTGCAAGAGAGCACTTTACACTTTATTAAAAGATATATATGATTCCTCAATTAATTCTGAGCGCTATTGGAAACATCCCATAATAGTAAACATGAAAGCAACTGACTATTGCAAGGAGAATATTTTAACAATAATTTGAAAAAATAAGCTAGCGTGTTGAAATCGAACGGTAAGCATTTTACCTATTTTAATCGCTCGCAGGTCATGCATCATCACCACGATTTATTAAAAAAGAAAAGAAAAGAAAATACTTCGAATCGAGGGAAAAGACATTTGTTCTCAGTGGCTAACGAAGCCAAAGGGTAGTCGCCTAGCGTACACTATTGTCCGTGTCGAACTTAGAACTTTCCACTCCAAAAACTAATTTCCGTGGAAACCGTTAATTTTGTAAGGTCAAAAACAGGTTAAAAGTAGGATTTCCATCGAAAGACTGCAAAAGAAGCGATACTTTGAACGTAAAGTCCTTATTTCAGTGTCCCCAAGAGATCTTCATACGATGACGACCACGAGCAAATGAATTGAAACGAACTAATATCAGCGTGTATAGCGGTCTTAGCACGCGCACCACCTGCGGTCAGCTAAGCTATCAAGATGAAAAATTTGCCCTTAGGCAAAAGAACACGTGTAATTTGCGTACAGACTTTAATCTAGTTTAACTTTCTGTTGGTGTCTGGCGGCGAGGAGACTTCGCTTGGTTGTGACAACAGGAGAAAAAGGTAACCTCTTTATTTTCTAATTCTTCTATCTATTGTACGGGTATCGAATGGTCTTTGCGAGCATTTGCGAGCATGCGAGCAGTGCTTTTACTTTTACGAGCACGAGCAGCGATCAAATTTGTTTTGCAAGCAGCGGGCACTTTGGAAAATGCAGATGGCGAGCATCGAGCACTTCGTATATTTCTCCTTGTCCTCCCTACTTTTTGAGTGCTCTACCACTTCCCAAGTGCCTTACAACAGACCAGAGCACGGTCAAAGCTTCTTTATTTGTTTTATGATAAAGAATGCATTAATTTTCCCACACATTTAGCTAATATTTACGAACAAAATTTATTTTCCAACCGAGGACGAGCGGCGGAAGCATGCATCTGTACTCTGATAAAGCACCCCAAAGTAAGCCAATCTCAATCCTTGTTAGAATTGTTCAAATAATTTGATTGGCTAACGAGGGAACAGCTGTTAATCACAGACTGGACTTTAGCTAAACTTTCGGTTTCGACAAAGTTAACTATGGTTTCGAGTGGCTTTCGAGAGAAGTACGATCGCTTCAAAGTTCGCTTTTTAGTTTCATTTGAAAATAAGGTTCTGAAAGTTTCTAGTCCAGAGGAATCCCTCTTCATTGTGGCCTATGAAAACGTGCACTTAACCAATGGAAATTACGAAACAAAGAGCTCAAAGCTTGCGGATGAAGATGCGAAATGCTGAGCTGTATTTGAAAGGAGCTACAGTTATTTTATAGGTTTAGGACTTTCAACAAGCTTGCCCGAACTAGCGGCAAAGTTGGAACGAATAAACTGCTCCCACTAGTTCTACTCCGGGTACAGGAGAGAATATCGCAACAAGCTTTCAACTGATTACTCGTCGGGTTAGCGTTTTAATTGTTGAGTTTCACTTCGCTGAAATGACCAGAGATCGCTATTTAGCAAACGAGCGTTACTACACTCCATGCAAGTGTTGTTTGAGCATTTTTGCAAAAATAAGGTTTTTCATTATAAAGAGAGACGGCTCGAGTGGTGTTTTCTGTTGTTTACTTCTGAAGAATAAAATTTCAGATTCAGCTTTATATTGTGCATCTGTTCTGTAATAAAGCACGCTGTTTAAACCAATCAGAGCTCGCGTTTGTGATAACACGTTTTTGGGCCGCTTAAGTTGTTATCCTTGTTACAACCATCCAGAGGGAAACACGCTTGCAACGACGGAGTTTGTCAGACTTCTAGAGGACCCGGGATCTGTTACCGCAAAACAATCCAACGGGAAGACAGAGAACACGCAGATACTTGGGTCCAACAGTAGATTTTAATCCACTAACGTACTCACAACGTAACTAATACGGGATAATGGTATCCGGCGTCCCACCACCGGGGGCGTAACCCAAGAACAATTTACAAAACACCTGCATTTATGCTAGACTCTAAACAAGTGATCTAATATTTCGTTTAGTAATCCTAAACCCCTATTGGCTGCCGATGAGCTCATTGTTGTTCTAGGCTATTCCATCACAGGCAGTCAGTTATTCTGCTCGTAAATATTAACTACTTACAACTTCAGGTAGTTCTCACTACAAGGTGTTACACGATAATACAGATAGACAGGTGGTTAACATGGTTATTGGACTTTCACTTGACTGCTAACTGTCGGCTTTTTTATGGCTATGAATATCGGCAAATTCTCCCCTCACACGTTATATGGAAACTTTATTATAACATGATGAATATAAAAATGTTACACTGGTTAAGAAAAGGTGTTAAAAATCTTTAAAAACTCAACGTTTCGGCTATTAACATAAGCCTTCTTCAGGGGTAATAAAAAAAATATAATGAAGTAAAGGTTTATTTAAGATCGTGTAGTTGCTAATAAAAACGAATATATAAGGATATTAATTCTTATCCAATAGAGTCAAAGCTCTGTACTCTTGGTGCAGGTACCTGCCGTCGTCGCGGTTGATTGGATTTTGGCACATGTTAATTTCCCAAGCCTCCAAGGGGCGTCGGTTTCGCCAACTTGTGCTGGTACGTAATATTGTAGCCGATTTCCACGAGATAGCGTGACCAAATTGTAAACAATGTTCAGCGAGTGCGGATTTATTGGAATGTTTCTGTTCGAAGGGGATAGCGCCAAGGTGGCGGTGTTGCTGAACTGCTGATCATAATATTTTTCGGACTGCTAAGAGGGTGTTTGAAGAGCTGTTCTCATTTCTGTCTATGGTCGGTGTTTCCTCAATGCCGCTCGCAAAAGGAGGTTGTGACTCTTCACTTCCGACACTACTTCTCGCTTGTGGAATTCCTACTAACACACAGCTGGGTCTAGCTGTGGTGTGCGGTGTTCCTTGTTGTTGTTCGGAGTTCCTGCAGTTTCCTTGAGATGATCGATTTCCGTCGCCATACTGTACTGGGAGCGACACTGACTTCGTAGGACAAGGCTCCAGGGTGGGCGGTGATGACTCCGGGAACCCACTTCTCTTTGATTCGCCGGTAGGGTTGCGGCTTGACTTTAGTTCTTGGTCTGGCTGCTTTTCCTCCACTCGTTTCCGTATGTCAGGTTTCAGTATGTCGAGCCTTGTTCTGGGGTTTTTTCCTATGAGGAGAACCGCTGATGCCTCTCCGGTAAAGGCATGTGGTGTTGTCCTGTAGGCTATCAAGAAGTTGGTCAGCTTCCTGGAGATGGTTTTCTTCTCAGTTAGTGCGGCACGAAGGGCTAAGTTGAATGTCTATACAAAACGTTCAGCTATTCCATTTGTAGCTGGATGATATGGGACTGACCTTATGTGCTTGATACCACTGCTTCTTAGGAATGCCCGGAATTCATCTGCAGTGAACTGGGGTCCATTTTCACTGACCAGCTGTTCTGGTAAGCCATGTGTTGCAAATAACTTCCTCACTTCCTTGATTGTTCTGGCAGCGCTTGTCGTGGTGATCGGTATCACTTCGGGCCTTTTAGAATACAACGATCAGAAGCATTGTTCTTGGGAATGGTCCCGCGAAATCTAGGTGAATACGTTTTCCATGGGCGTGCCGGCCACTCCCATGCATGAAGTGGGGCAGTCTTAAAATTGTTCTGGGTGAGTTGACATCCTGTGCACCCTTTTGCCGCTTCTTCGATTGCCTTGTCCATTCCCAGCCACCACATGTAGCTCCTGGCTATGGCCTTCATTTTTCACGATGCCAAGGTGGCCTTCATGGAGCTCTCCTAACAGCTGTGCCGGGTACTTAGGTGGAATTATCACTCGTGAGCCCCACATAAGGTAGCTATCCTGTAAGGTGAGCTCGATGTTTTTTTGTGGAACGGTTCAAGTTCTTTCTCACTGCTCGGTGGCCACTCGTGCTTTGTGTATTCGTCCACAGGTGATAAAATTGGATCTCTCTGGGTTGCTTGACGAATCGTGTCTGCGCCGACTGGCATCACTTCTAGCTATGACACTTGAAAAATTTTCACTGGATCAGCTACTTCCTTGTTACATCTTTTTTTTAAAGGTAGACGTGATAATCCGCTCGCATTTCCGTGTTGGGTGGTGTTCTTGTACTCAATGCTGTATCTGAATCCTGCTAGGAACGATGCGTAGCGTTGCATGCGAGCAACTTTCATTGCTGGTATTACCTTTTTGGGATTGAAAACTGAGGCCAGGGGCTCATCATCTGTCACCAGTGTGAAGTGGCGACCAAACAGGTACAGGTGGAATTTCTTGACTCCCTGAACCAAGGCCAACGCTTTGTTATCGATCTGGGAGGAGTTCCTTTCTGCTTTCGTTAAAGTACATGACGCAAAGGCTATGGATCGTTCTGAGCCGTCCTCCATGACATGAGATAACACTGCTCCAAATCCAACTAATGAATCGTCACATGCTAGCTTCAATGGTCGTTCTGGATTATAATGGGTAAGAACCATATCTGATGCGATGAGTTTCTTTCCTAAGACAAAAACCTCCTCACACTCTGCGGTCCACGTCCACAGCGTGCCTTTTTCTAAGAGCCTGTTAAGGGGATTGAGGGTGGTGGCGAGATTTGGCAAGAACTTGTGGTAGCAGTTTACCAGCCCCAAGAATGAACGGACTTGTTGAATGTTCTCTGGCCTTGGGGCGTTAACGACTGCATCAACTTTCTCTTGAGTCTTGTGTAGTCCGTGTTGGTCAACTATGTGCCCGCAGTAGGTGATCTTCGTCTGGAAAAACTTGCATTTGCCGCCGATTTGCTAGTAGGCCATGTTCCTTTAGCCTCTTCAGTACTTCCACCAGGTGATCAAGATGCCCTTCATCATCTTTTCCTGCGATGATCATGTCGTCTAAGATGAACCTTCTTCCTTCTATTTCTTCTAGGATTTGATCCATTGATCTCTGCCACGTGGCTGAGGTTGAGGCTGAGGCTATCCCAAATACCAGGCGATTGTATCGGTGCAATCCTTGGTGGGTGTTGATTGTCAAGTACTCCTGTGACTCTTCCTCCACCTCCATCTGATGGTATGCGTGTGGCTGTTTGAGGTCAATCTTGGTGAACCTCCCTCCCCCCGCCAACTCAGCAAATACGTCACCGATACGAGTAAGGAAGTACTCCTCTGTCTGCAGTTGGGGATTTACTGTGATCTTATAGTCGCCACAGATGCGTACAGCATCATTTGGTTTGACGACATGTACAATAGATGTCGACCAGTTGCTGAATCTGACCTTGCGAAATATCCCTTCTTCTTCTAGGCGTTTCAGCTGGACCTCAACTTTTGGTTTCATGGCATACGGGACCGACCTTGCCTTGCAAAACATTGGTTTACTGCCTTCTTTCAGGGTGAGTTTTGCTTTTGTTGACTTCAGTTTGCCAATTTCATCCTGAAACACTTCGCTGTTCTCATCTAGCAGTTTCTCAAATTTTTTCAGGTGTGCCTTGTGGTGGCTTCTCTTTTGAAATAGAACAAATCCGCTTCCAGTCGAGTTTTATTTTGTTAACCAATCTCTTCCAAACAACGCAGGCCCCTGTGTCTTCACTACATACAATCTTAAGTCCTTAACTTGATTGTTTTGTTCCACACAAAGAAGTAGTTTTCCTTCTGGTTTTATCTTCTCTCCAAAGTAGATTTTCAAAATAGCCGTTGTGTCTACTAGTGGTGTGTTTGGGAATGTTTCCATGTACTTTTTCAATGGGAGTGTGGATGTTGCTGAGCCTGAGTCGAGTTCCATTTTCAAGATGTGACCATTAATCTTTGTTTTCATCCAGATGAAATCCCCAGCTGCCACTTGGTTAACATTTTTGACTTCTAGTAGTGCAACTAAGCTACCATCATCGCGGTCATCATCCACCTCAAAGAAAGGCAGATTGGGCTTTTCATCCTTTCTTCGTCCGGTGAAGTTCTGACTCTTTCCTGAGCCGCAAACTCGTTTCCCACATTTCTGGTATGTTTCGTTCCTGAGGTAACACTCGGATGATTCATGTGTAGTAGTGTACCATCACATCTATAACAATGATCGCGGGACTTCGGTTTCACATTTGGTACGCTGCTGCTTCCGTTGGGTACTTTGTTAAAATCTGATTCTTTAGTGTCCTGTAACTCTAAGGTATCTTTCGCCCCAGCTTCCATGGCAAATGCAATTTTTGTCGCTTTTGCTAATGGCAACTCTGGTTCCGAGAGAAAGCTCGAATCTACACCACTAAGCCGATTGGAAAAAAAGAGGCCTTCGACGAAATTAACGACGACTTGAACTCCTATGTCGAACGAGTAGAGCAATACTTCATCGCCAACGAAATTAAAGAAGAGGAGCAGGTGGCATTGATGCGCAGCCTAATGTACTTACCTTGCTAAATTAAAGTAGTTGACACTTGTATTGTGAGTCTGAAGCGAGCTTAAATGACCCGCTAAGGGACAGACTTGTGCCGGTGTGGACTGCACAACGAACTTATCCAGAAACGGTTGCTCTTTTCCCCGGAGGG